CAAACACTTGTTTTTAAGCCTAAAATTCGATAGAGATAAGAAAAGAAAATTTTAAATGTTACATCTCGTGGCATTCCCTGTTCATTTGAGTAGTGTTACACTTAACAAAACAAATGTGTATGTGAATATCTTTCCTCTTGTAAGGGATAATGAAGCGGCCATGATCGAAAAAATCGCCACTGATGTTTCAAGCCAGCTGAATAATTCTGTGCCCTCAAGAGATTTCGACGATTTTGTTGGGATGAGAGCTCATTTGGAGAATATGAATTTGCAATTAGACTCCAATGAAGTGAAGATGATAGGTATTTGGGGTCCTTCCGGAATTGGTAAAAGCACCATCGCCAGAGCTCTTTACAGCAAATACTCTCATCAGTTCCAACTCAGTGTCTTCATGGCGAACATCAAAAGACGCTATCCAATACCTTGTTATGACGACTACAGTGCGAAAATGCAACTACAGAAAGAGTTCTTGTCGCAAATAATCAACCATAAGGATATCGAGATTCATCATCTAGGAGTTGCACAAGACAGGTTAAAAGATAAGAGAGTGCTTCTGGTTCTTGATGATGTGAATCAGTCGGCGCAAGTAGATGCAACGGCCAAAGAAGCTGGGTGGTTTGGTCCTGGAAGTCGGATTATCATCACAACGCAAGATAAACAGCTTCTGAATGCACATGGGATTAACCATATTTACGAGGTGAATTTTCCAGATTACGGTGAGGCTCTTGAAATCTTTTGCATGTATGCTTTTGGTCAAAAGTCCCCATATGATGGTTTTGAGGAGCTTGCTTGGGAAGTTACAAAACTTGCTGGTAAACTCCCTTTAGGACTAAGGGTTATGGGATCTTATTTGAAAGGAAGGACCAAAGAGGAGTGGAAAGGGGAACTACCAAGGTTACGTACTAGCCTTGATGGAGAAATTGAGAGCATTTTAGAGTTCAGTTACAATGCCTTAGGTGCTGAAGATAAAGAATTATTTCTTTATATAGCTTGTTTTTTCAACAATCAACCGATTGAGAAAGTGGAAGAGCATCTAGCAAAGAATTTCTCTGATGTGAGTCAAGGTCTTCGGATCTTAGCTGAGAAATCCCTCATATCTTTCAATAGATGGGGAGAATTGGCTGAACGTTTATATATATCTTTCGATGTATGGGGAGATGTAAAGATGCATGGGTTGCTAGAACGTTTGGGTAGAGAAATTGTTCGTAAACAATCCATTCATGACCCTGGACAACGTCAGTTTTTGGTTGATCCTAGAGATATATGCACAGTACAGAATAATGATACAGTTGTAAGTTTCCACATCAGTCTTCTCTTACGAAATTTTTGATAATTAATAATCGTTACTTATGTGTATTTGTGTTCTTTTTCAGAGTGGTGGAAATGTTATAGGCGCAATTATCAACGTCTCTGAGATCGAGGATGAGTTAAATAGAAGATACATAGCCTTGGAAAGATTCTCTAGTCTCCAGTTTTTGAGACTCTATTACGATAGTTATAATTCTCAAAAAGTTAGATTAGTGGATTACTTTTTTAATCAGTCTAGATCTACCTGGAAAAGTCCGAACAATCTACCTCGAAAAGTTAGATTACTAGATTGGCAAAGTCCGAACAATCTACCTCGAAAAGTTAGATTACTAGATTGGCAATATTTTCAGATGACATGTCTGCCTTCTAATTTTAATCCGGAGTTCCTCGTCGAACTGAACATGTCGTACAGCAAGCTTAAAAAATTGTGGAAAGGAAATAAAGTAAGTACTCCTTTTCTTTTTATTATTTGTTTCTATAAAACTTTGTATACGAATCTATAATTTGTATGTTCGTACAATATGATTTAGCTGCAAAAGAAAAGAAAAAGTGATCTCAAGAATTAAGTTTTAATGGTATTGAAATGAGTAGTTTTTCTTTGATGAGTTCACTACTAATTGTATCAACGTATTTGTTTCATTGTACAGACCATTAGAAATCTCAAGTGGATGGATTTGAGTTCTTCCCACAATCTGAGGGAGCTTCCTGATCTCTCTACTGCCACTAATCTCTGCGAATTAAATCTTACTTGGTGCTCAAATTTGGTGAAGCTTCCATCTTCTATTGGGTCTGCCATTAATCTCAAGAGATTGTATCTCAGAGGTTGCTCAAATTTGGTGAAGCTCCCATCTTCTATTGGGGATGCCATTAATCTCAAGGAATTGATTCTCAGTGGGTGCTCAAATTTGGTGAAGCTCCCATCTTCTATTGGGAATGCCACTAATCTCAAGAAATTGGATCTTAGTCATTGCTCAAGTCTTATAAAGCTCCCATCTTCTATTGGGAATGATATTAATAATCTCAAGAAATTGGATCTCAGAGGTTGCAGGAGCCTAAGAGCGCTTCCATCTTCCATTGGAAATGCTATTAATCTCGAGATATTGGATCTTTGTGGTTGCTCGAGTCTCGTGGAGCTACCGTCTTCTATTGGAAATATAACTAGTCTCTTGAGTTTAGATCTTATTGGTTGCTCAAGTCTCGTGGAGCTACCGTCTTCTATTGGAATTCTTTATAAGTTGTCGGTTTTGCGTTTAAAAGATTGCACAAAGCTGGTTTCGCTCCCACAGCTTCCAGACTCCTTAGAAATCTTTGATGCAGGAAATTGTGAGTCCCTAGAGAGACTAGATTGCTCTTTTCAGAATAATAAGCTTATCCGCCTCAAGTTTGGTAACTGCTTCAAATTGAGTGAAGAAGCAAGAGACCTCATCATCATCAAGACATCTAGTTATAAAATCGCGCTCTTACCTGGAGAAAAAGTTCCCCCACACTTCACTTACCGAGCCACTGGGAGTTCCCTGCCCATGAAATTGAGTGGAATTGATACGCATTTTCCTACATCCTTGAGATTTAAGGCATGCGTCTTGCTGGTCAATAAGGGTGACGTTGAGGTTGGTGAGTGTGAATTATTCTTCGTAAATTATCGCATCAAGGCAAACCAGAATGGTGTCAATGTTACGTGTAGCTCGGATAGCTTGGATAGCTCGGAATACATCGACCTATCGACATGTTTGAAGAAGCATCTGTTCATATTCCACTGTGAAGCAAATAAACTACCAAGGTTATCCAATTCGTCCAACGAATTAGTCTTTGAGTTTGAAATCATCGGTAAGAAGAAATTCGAGATAGAAGAATGTGGGATAGAAGGATGCCCTAAAGCTTACTGATACATTTAATTGCTATCAAAAGGTATTTTTCAGTTGTTGAACATGTAGACAAGATCTTTATATTGAGGTTCTGTTTATTAAAGTGTGTTTTCTTTCTTCCAACTAATCTAAACTTTAGGTGAACAGGTTGAGTCGTAGAACTGTTTACGTGATGATTGAATTTCTAGTGTCAAGCAAAGAGGAAGTTGACTTGAATGATTTCTTTGACGGAGATGGCAAGAAATAGACAACAGGTAACTGATACGAACCTTAACACTTTAGGTCCCTTGTGTACATGTAGTTTAGTTCATGTGTATTTCTTATCTTGTGTTTGTGTCAGATTATCAATGTATGGTTACTAGAGATACTAGAAGAATGATTATCAATGTGTGATATCAATAGGCTTGTCTGGTGCTTCTCCACTTCTAATCCAAGGATGTTCTAAAATGAAAAATGTGAGGATGACTATAAGAGATTAGTAAAGCACCTTGATCTCAACAACAATGTTTTCTTGTCCTGATAAATGTGTCCTCTCTCTTCACATCATCTGTGTTTTGCTTTGTCATTAGTTTCTTCTATAAGTATTGATGTGTGTTTTTTTGTTGAAATCTCTGTTAAGCAAGTGTAAGTTATAGCAAATTGACCTCTACCTAGTTAGTACCAGGAATGTAGAATTTACTGATTTCTTCAAATAATTTCTCTAGAATTGTCTTGGTTTCTCGAAGAGCAAAAGGTCCTTTGTGTACAAAATGATTCTAAGTTGATTCTTATGTTGTGTTTGTGTCAGATTATCAATGTGTGATAATGGGTTTGTTAAACTGAATTAACTGATGGATTCAATCAAGCAAACAGTTGCTATAATAAATCTGCAACTTCTCTGAAATCTAATCCCTTTTCTGCAACTCTTCTACCCGATTCTGAATATTGTAAGGATCTAACTAATGGATTCAATCAAATTCTTTTCGATTAATCAATCAATGAACTTGGAAGAAGTTTCCCTCCTTGTGGTTGTGTGGTACCACTTCTCATCATCGCNCAGAATTCTTCATAGTTTATTCTTCCATCNTGCACAAGACCGGTTGGTTAATCTCAATCTTGGCGTAAGACTTGTTCATAACTTCTTTGATGCTAAGAAACAAAACTTACATTATCGGTATCGACTTCTGCAATTACTTCTTTGATGCTAGCTTCATCTCCCATACCATACTCTTTCATGGCTGACTCCAACTCATCCATTGTGATAAACCTGTGTAAAGCCAAATGCATATTAGTGTCTTAGAAATAGTTCCAACTTCTAAGTTTAAATTTTCTCTGTTCCACCAGAAAGCGCTTACCCGCTGTTGTCTTTATCAAAGTACTGGAAGGCTTTGAATAAGTGTTCGTCTCGATCCAACCTATATCTATTCATCGTTGCTGAGATAAACTCAATGTAGTCGATTGTTCCATTACCATCTACATCAGCCTGAAATATATACAGAAACGTTTCACTTCTCAGATTCTAAATTTTAGAGAGAAAAAATATTAAAGAATAGAAGCATGGAAATACTCACAGCTTCCATGAGTTGCTTAACTTCAGTTTCAGAAAGTTTAGAACCGAGTTTAGCTAGTCCGGTTGTTAGTTCTTCGTACGTGATTGTACCGCTTTTGTCGGTATCCATATTAGCAAACATTGTTTTAAGACCTCTAATTTCCTCCTCTGATAGACTCTCTGCAATAACCTGCAAAACAAAATTAGAAACACAACCAATGATTAGGCAAAACAGAACAGAATGCGTACTTGCACTAGAGAGTTTTGTAGCTTTACCTTTAGAGCTAGCTTCTTGAGCTTGTTCATTGCTCGGAATTGCTTCATCCGAGATAACACAGCACTATCAATGGGCTTGTCCGGCGCTTCTCCGCCTCTGATCCATGGATGCTCTAAAGAAAGCCATAATGATTAGTAAGTTGATCACAAAACTGCACTTAATACTTTGATTTGTAGACTACTCTTAAAGAAACAAAGGGGACTTTACCAAGAGCTTGTGCTGCAGAGATTCGTTTCTTGGGGTCCTTAGTGAGCATCTTCCTCACAAGATCTTTAGCACTCTCAGAAATAGAAGGCCATGGTTGGCTCTCAAAATCAATTTCTCCCTTGAGAATCTCATCAAATATCCCTTTCTCATTTTCTACAATGTAACAACAACACAAAACAATCAATAAAACTACATAACTCAATGGTTAAACCAAGTCAAACGAATTTGTCAGCTTTTACTAACCAGCCCAAAAAGGAGGTACACCACAAAGCAAGATGTATAGAATAATCCCTGCACTCCAAATATCGATTTCTTTTCCGTAACTTCGTCTTAATACTTCAGGAGCTACATAGTAAGCACTTCCTACTATATCTCTGTAAACTTTCCCTGCAAATTTTGTTTTTCAGATTAGATCAGAACAAACGAAGCATATGAAGACACGATTATCAACTAGACAATATAACCGTGTCTAAAGCGAAACAATTATGCACATTCCCAAATTTACACAAAACTTGCAAAACCTCTGTTTTGAAGCTTACCACTATGTACTCAAACATCACCAAGTGAGATCAGATTCTTAAGTTATCCTTGTATCCATAACATAACTCAAACATTTGTTCGAAAATCTTAAGAAATCTAAAACATTCGTAATTAACTATAACCATAAGAAGTTGTATATCATTCTCACCTTCTTCGATGAAGACAGACAATCCAAAGTCAGTAGCTTTAAGCATAGCATTCTCATCTTTACTAGCAAGCAAGAAATTCTCAGGCTTAAGATCACGATGCATCACTCCCATAAAATGACAACTCTGCACAACATTCACTATGGATCTAATAACACCAGCAGCTGCTCTCTCAGAGTAATGTCCTTGAGCTATAATCCTATCAAACAATTCACTACCACCACACAATTCCATTACAAGATGTATCGATTGTCTATCTTCATAAGCACCTCTGATCTCAACAATGTTCTCTTGTCCTGATAAATGTTGCATTATCTGAATCTCTCTCTTCACATCATCTCTGTCTTGCTTTCTCGTTAGCTTCCTCTTGAGTATCGATTTGCAAGCGTATGTGTTCCCTGTTGAAATCTCATTGCAAGTGTAGGTTATACCGAATTGACCTCGACCTAATTCGTTACCTAATGTGTAAAGTTTCCTAATTTCTTCAAAGGGTTTCCCTAAAATTGTCTCTGTTTCTCGAAGAGCGATTGGTTTCAATGGTATTGTAATCTCCTTCTCTTTGATCACCTGATTAACGG